GACAAGACAGCAATGTCTTCTATGGAAACTCGTTGGACCTTGGGAATTCAAATACAATGATAAAATAGCACTTACCTTGATTCTTTGATGTTAAAATAGCACTTACCTGGATTCTTTTCCCTCTAATATATATCCAACCTGAAACTGGATACATTAAAACGTTGCAGAAATTTTTGTGTGTAATGAATGAGAAAGCCACATTTCTATATGAAATATATGTTAAGGAATCTGAAAAATAAATTTAAATCATAATTATTTCTTTAATTTTATATATTATGAAGATATATATAAATTTCTTTTAAAAGAAGAAATTCAGGGCTCATATATTTAGTCCGAGCCCTCATACATTAAAATCATACTTATTCAGCATTATATTATTTTTTGGGGGTGAATGACATTACAGGAGAAAAAATAATCTTTCTTTATCTATATTACTTATTTTTCTGTATCTATATTCTTTATCTTTGTGTATCTATTCTTATTATCTTTTATCGTTCTAAAAATATTTTTTATTTCACTAAAAGGAAAATTGTACAGGTCAGAATAAATGTTTGTATCATACTCCCTGTCTGTTGTCTTTAATTTTTATTGCTTCTGTGTTCTAAATTAATTTTGGAATGTCTGTTGATCTGTATTTACATGTCAAGAATCATAATTGCTGTGCATTATTTGGGTGACAATGCAATATAAAAAAAATGTGAATGTCTTCATCTTATTAAAAAGGAAATTTAATACGAAAATACTCTTGTATCATACCATTTTTTTAATCTGTTATTTTTTAGTTTAATTTGTATTTATTTATTTATTTTTTTAAGGTCTTTTTGGAATTTAACTGCTTTTTTTTCTGTTTGCCTTTTGGTTTTCCTATTGTAATCTTTAGGTAAAAATATTTACGGGTACACCTTGGCCATTTTTGGCGGTACATGGATATCGAATTAGTGCCATTCTTTGACTTGTTATTTTGGCTTGTGTAGCACCGATTTTTGCGCCAAACATCACCGCTACACAAAGCCAAAATAACAATACAAAGAATTCCACAAACTCAGTATCCATGTACACATCGACCTATTTTCACTTAAAAAATAATCCTAGAATTGCACAAACTTGGCATTGCACACTTCCTCGACTTTATCCATGTACACATCGACCTATTTTCACTTAAAAAAACATCAGAGAACAGCACAAACTAGGCATTGCACACTCCCTTGACTTTGTCCATGTACAAATCAAACTATATTCATTTAAAAAGTCAAAGGAGCATCCAACAAAAATATATATATATAAATCAATAAACTATATTTTAAATCAAATAAATGAATAACATAAAAAAGGAAATTCATCTTTGCACTACACAAAAGAAATATCCACTTACCTTATTTATGAATTAACACGTCTTCAGTTAACAAAATTCGTTAACAGCATCCAAAAACTTTCTAAAATTATCTGAACTAGAATCTATATACTGAAGTCGTCACATAAATTCACAAAATAAGAGTCATTCATATCCTCCATAGCGGTGTATCGTCCGACCATACACATTTCCTTCCTACAAACAGGACACTTAATAATGGCTACTAAGTAAACCTTCATTTACACACCAGTCGAGTAATGCTCTTTTCCCCTTTATTTCAAAATCGTACAGAAACTTCAAATTAATCTTACCACATTCAGCCATTTTAATGTCTAAACCAGAAAACAAGCAATGTACTTTCTAACCAACACACACGACAAGCCCTTGCAAATTCACCACAATCTTGCAACCGATTACGTCATAATAGGGTTTCCATAACATTCAACTAGTCAGGCTACTGTAAATAAACCACCAATTGGCGATAAATGAAACAACAACTTTGGGATAATGCAAGGGGCACCCTTCTCTCTACTCTAACCAAGCTTTATTATTAGTATTAGTTAGTTTTAATTTGCTCTCTTTCAAATGTAATGTTTTTATACTGAATGTACATATATACATGTGTGTGTGTGTAATTTTCAAAATATTATGCTTATTCTCTCTGAGAAAATGAAAAAAGACAAATGTAAAGGACTGTTATAATGATTAAAAATATTAAGTAAAAAAAAATATAAATTAATTAATAGATTAAGCAATTTTAGATAGATTACAAAATACATTGAGGCAATATAGATACATTACAAAAATAAAATACATTAAGTTTTCTAATATTTTTTTAATTGAAAAACAATTGAACAATATTTTTTTCATAATATTAATGACAAACTGCAATTTGATTATGTTTAATATTTGAGATAGACTCACCAGGGGATAAGTATTTCAAAAATTAAGGAGTTCTGAAAATGAATTTCATTCTTGTCTATTTAAGAGAACTAAATCACTTCTGTAAAGAAAAATTAAAAATAAAATTATATGCAAAAATTTTTAAACATCTTATTCTCAAAACATCAGGAATATACCCCAGTGACCTAAAAAAAAACTAAATATGTATATACAGTCAAAAGTCGTTAATCCGGACTCGTCGGGACTTCGGTTATTCCGGATTATCGATTTTTCCGGATTATAGATCATCAGTTTAAATCGCGTAAGATGGCATACAGAAATTATAAAATTAAAAATATGAAACCATAATTTATGAAATAAAGAACAATTATGATCTAAAGGGTATCAAAATTTACAAAAAAAAAGCTTAATATTTATTTGTTTACTTTATTAAACATTTCTTTCAATGTAAGTTGTTTAAGTTGCTTCGTTTTATGTGATAATACTTTCTCTTTAATTCTATAAACAGACATAATTTTTTGTTCAGTTACAAAGTTCCACTGTTCAAGTCCTGTTAATTGCTGTGCCGAGAATACCGACTAACTTGTCAATCGAAATTTTTTCGTTTTCACTAACCTCTCTGTGACATTCTTCATGTCTTTATCCATTTTTTGCGGCAATTCCACTTTTTGTTTGATGGGCATCGAAACATACTTCGGTGCCCATCAAACAAAATGATCCTTTGGGAGCTACAGAATCTAAAATTCTATTTGACATAATCGAAAGTTCAAGTTTACTTTTATAGTATTGATCTTACAGTCTGCAAAAAATAATAAGCCGGATCCAATTCGAAAATTAAGGAACAACGCAATCATCAACATTATTTGATTTAGATAATTAGATAATTTTAGCTTATACCGTCCGTTATACATAAAACGCGCACGCAAAAACGTATTCTGCGCTTGCGCACACGCAAATGTGCAGTCGTAAGAGGTCTTACTCGCACGCGTAAACGCCTATGCGCATGTGTCAACGCGGCGCATGAGCAGAAAGTTTTTAGCTTTGAGGTCCGGATTATAGATCATTCCGAAGTATGGGTGTCCGGATTAACGACTTTTGACTGTATAATGAAACCAGAAATTACATTCGATGACAGAACATGAATGATTTGAGTATGAATGCGGCACAAACTTGCATTATTAAAATTTTCGGTGAAACAGGACTTTTCCCATGATCCACTGTGAACATAGAATAACAAAGCAGTGTAGATTCCTTCATAATTAAAACTGGCTGAATAAATGTTTCCAGATATGAATGATGAACGTGCAGATGCAAAAATCCAACTTAGAAATAAATGTTCCGTTAAGGTTAGTAGCACGTAATCCAATCCTCTATGACTAAAAATGTAATAAAAGCCCAATTTCGGAAGCACTGATGTAAGAACACTGAGATGTAGATGCGTAGAAATGCTGATTGCGAAGATACTTGATGCTTCAAACTTCCATCCATTTTGAAGAAGAACCAGTCGAGCCAGGTTTAATTCCAAATTTATTTAAATTCTCATTTGTGGTCACAATTCACTTGGGACTCTAATCATGCCTATTTCCAGAACAATTTAGATATTATTGTGATAGAAGCGAACATAGCAGCACATAGATGATTGCAGCGAAGTGTCTGGCCAAAAGGGAAGCACAAGCAAAAGTGATGCATCAGTTCAGAGGAAGAAGGGGGAGTCAAAAGTTTCAGTTTTAAGTTTTGGTATACAATTACTTTGAGTGGGCAAGAGGTATCTCCATTAAGCGTTACATAAAATCGCATGATTACTTTGAATGATGCACTTATGGTGCTGTTTTAGACTTTAGACTTATGGTGCTGTTTTTAGACAGAGAGATGACGTACCCAAATTAAATGAAAAATAAAAGAGATTATCGCCTATTAAATTTAGAAGTTTCATATTTTTTATCTTACACACGTGTGTGTATAAGATAAAAAATGTGTGTGTGCATGTGTATCTGTATATATTACTGTATCACAATTTTTTAAAGAACATAATTATTTAAAGTATTTTTGCACAATATGCTAATGAAAATTGAACAGTAAAGACAAAAAGTAAGAAATTTAGAACCTGTTTTACTCAAAAGACCCAAAAAAGTGAAATTCAATACCAATAAGTTTCAAAATGTACTATAACTATACAAAATAAGAATTAAAGAAATGTGAAATTAAAGCCTAAAAAATTATGAAGATCTGAAAATATGTACTAAAACTAGAAAAATAAATAAAGCAAAGGAACTTGATTAAATCGATGTAACGTTGTCAAGAGGATGATGCATCAGAATCAATTACAATCTCCCTCCTACTGAAAATCCTTGTGTTCCCGGTATTGAATTTTTCTTTTTCGGGGTTTTTGTATAAAGCAGTGCTTTATTAAGTCTTATGTAAAGAAAAAATTAAATGTTATGCTAACTGTAGCAATTAATTGTCATTCTATCAAAAATATGCTAACTGTAGCAATTAATTGTCATTCTATCAAAAATATGATGAAATAAATTGTATCACTTAAGAATGCAGAAAGTGTTTAAAAAGTGTCACTAGTTTAAAGAGTGTCACATTAAATTGCTATTTAAAATTTGGGTTTTTTATTTCCAGTATTGAAGAATTTTAACAATTATTACATTCATAATTAGCATATATTTCTATAACCAGAAAATATGTATTACATTTTAAATACATTTTAGCATTAAATATATTTCTGTTTCTATTCCAGATGAGTTATCACTTGAAATACGTTTCATTGTCTGTACTAGTTTTGCAGACTACTGCCATGGTTTTAGTGCTCAGATATTCTAGAACAGTGCCACAGTCTGGGCCTAGGTATCTTGCTTCCACTACAATTGTTATTTCTGAAGTACTAAAGATTACATCTTGTTTAATTGTATTATTGTGTGAATGTGGTAAGTAAAATTTTTCTTCTCAAGCTTTTGAACTCGGCAGTAAATACGATATGTAAAACAGGTTAATTCTTGTTTTACTCATCATTGAAATAATTTCATTTCTTAATATTCCATTTCATATAACTGAACCTTTCTTATTGTACTAAAGATAAGCTTTCAAGCGTGAACATTCATACATTGGAGGTTACAGTTCTGCAGTTGATGCTGTTATTATGAAGCTATTTTTCTAGGAAATATTTCATTACTCTCTTTTTTTCTTCCATAAATTCCATAGCTTAAATATATAATATCTGCTCTGTTTCAGGAACTTACAGTTACTGTGTCATGGAAATGCAATTAAAACACAGAGCTGGAATAAAAGTGCTTGAAAGTAATTATCCAGCCTGTTGTATATGCTTAAAATAAAAGTTCTAGTCTGAAAATAGTGAAAGTTCTATTAAAGAATTTCTTTGTTATGTCAGAAATGATATGAATTGATTGGAAAATACATCACTTGCAAGGTATTCAAGAAAGGTGCCTATTTACTTTATTTCTGATTTATTTACATATGGACCATAGATATAAATTCTTAATGCAAAATTTCTAAAAATTAACAAGTAATAAAAACTGCAATCTGAAACCTTCAAATTGAAGTTTTACACCTTGAACAGGTCCACCAGAGCGGCCGAGCGGTAAAGTTACTGAACACTGGTAGTTCGGTCCGAGGTTCGAATCCTGTGAACGTGCTGGCTGCATGGGCGTTTTTGTGGTTTTTCCCATGTGTGACGTGTATACAAGCCAGTTTCCCTTAGAAAGTCCTCCATGAAGGCATCCCTCCCCTTAGACAGATAGCCCTCGAACAGCCTCGAACAGCTTCACTCACACACCTCGAACAGCTTAGCATTAAAGTTTCAAATTTAAAACAAAAATTTATGCATGAATATTAAATATATTAAAAAAACATAAGATAAAAAAATGATATCTAGATTTCAGTTTAACACTTGAAACAATTTTGATCCAGGTAGTTAAGTTAGGCCTCCAAATTTAGGAATTAGTTTTACTTAAATAATACATTTACTTATATTGCTTATAAATTTAGGAATTAATTGTACTTAAAACTATTTACAACATAAAACCTTATGTTTAAAATCAGCTGTTAAAAATAGCAAAGCTAAATAATAGAAAAAAATTCACTTTGATTTTCCATTATGAATTAACACCACTGGAAGAAAGTTGTGCTTATTTTATAAAAAAAAAGGTATACTTTTTTTTAATAAAATAAGTGTAACATTCTTAAAGAATTATAAAGAAATGACTGCACATTTATTTCACTAGATTGCTTGTGCATAAGGCTTACAATAAGTATTTCCTTCAAATGGCAATACTTTTTAATTTTGTTAAAAGACAAAGAAAATTCATTTTCTGGAAACCATAAACATTCTATAATGTGTTTAAAAAGAGGGGGGAAATGCTTTTTAAATGGCCGTCAAAAAGTGAAAATTACAAATAATAAACTATTTAATATGTTTTAATTAGTTAATAATTGCTGTTTCATGCCTCACTGAACCTCTTAAAGCACAAGTTTTTTTTTTTTTTTTTTTTTTTTTTTCAGAAATACTGGTAAAAAATAACTGAGTTTTTTTATTTTACAGGTGAATATATAGGTATAGTGCACATTATTTTTTGTATTGTACTAATTATTATTTGATTTGTACTAATTTCTTGCTACAGGCATTTCCAGAAGACAAGAGGCAAATTTAATATAGAATTAATTATTGCCTTTGTTTTGTAGCCTTTTTTTTTTTTTTTTTTTTTTTTTTAAGATTGAATTATCTTCACTTACAATGTTTAGACTGTTTTCATAATATTCTGCTTCTTATTTAATTGGAAGCATATATCTGGGATCAATATTTAAGCAAGTAAGCCTAGGATCACTTTTTTTCAAACATTTTATTTAGAGGTACTAGTATAAAGATGGTAGTTGAGCTACCATCTTTGAAATGTTATTAAGATTTTTCTCTATGCTTATTATTTTGAATTCTTTTTCTTCATACTTTTTTGCAGCTTATATTAAAGGATGAAATTTTGTATCTAGTATTTTGATTAAGTAGATATTAAGATCAGGCTAATTTAAGTTATTTAGATCAGGTTTTTAAAGCTGTCTTTTTTTTATTACTATTATTATTATTTTTTTTAATCTAATACTTGCTCCAGTCAAAGCATTAGTCTCTTACGAAGAAGTAAAGATATAGTGTTAGTAATTAAAGTTTATCTATTTAATAGAAATTGTCTCTGCTTTTGATGACATTCTCTGAAAAACAGATTTGCAATCAAGATAATTTTTAAATAGAAAAATGATCTGAGTATGTAGAAAGGGAATGTGGTGCATTTTGATGATTTGCTATAATATTGATACTTGTGTATTATTCTGTTTAACCTAAAACTTTCCAAGCAGAGCTATTTAGTGCCAGTTGTAGATTAGCGGGACATATCAATGCATTCATAACATCTGCACTTTTGTTTAATATAACTTCGACTGAATCTAGATAAGCTAGGTTATGTTTTTATTGAACAAGGATACAAACTAACTGTTATTGCTGTATTTGTCCCCTTACATTTTGAAAAAAAAAAAAAAAAAGAGTAAATAAATAAACGTTGGGACTTGCCTTTTGCAGAATAACAAGCGGTGGATTATTTTTTAGTGCAATGGAAGTTATGGTATCATAATATTTAAAAAAAAAAGTGTGTATTGATAGACATAATATTGTCAACTGAAAATGGCCAACAAAACTGGATCAGAACAATTACCTGTGGAAAGTTTGTATTTATAGCATTTATAGCAGAGCTTCTATTAAATTCAGAATACCTAATAAAATAGTAGAAATAGACAAAAACCTTTTTATAAAGTGCAAAAATGAAGTGAGTCAAATACTTATTAAGAGATGTCAATTCCTTCAGAATTCCACAGGAATTAATAGCTCAACTTTAGCAGAATGTCTGCCAACATCCACAGTTCACAGGATAATATTTAAGTACTAAAATAGTTTATTTTATTACAACTTATGCAAAGTATTCAATTTAAGATAGCATACATTTTTGGAAACATGTCACATTATTTGTAGTAATATGATTTCTGTCATGTTTTAAGAACATATATAATCTGTAATCTGATAAAATATTGTCATATATTTATGAATTTTTAAAATACAATAAATGTAGTAAAAGAAATAAAGTTATGATTTAATTTTCAATTGACATTTTCAGTGTCCATATAAAGTACTTCCTTGATATATGATGTTACATTTTTCTGTTTTAATGGTCTTTCCCAGCCCTTTTTAATTAGTAATTGTTTTCTTTTCTTAATTGTTGTAGGATGGTCATTATCAGATTTAAGAAAACACCTAGTCCAGGAAATATGGAACAAGCCTGTAGAAACATTAAAACTCATTGTTCCTGCTGGGTTATATACCATACAAAATAATTTATTGTTCCTTGCTCTCTCAATTTTAGATGCTGCAACATATCAAGTGAGTTTGCTATTTTGTAAAGAACTAAATAGTTATAAATGTTAAAAAGGCTGGTTGGCTTTTAAAAGATTTTCCTGTACACTGATATATATTTTGTAAATGTGAAACTTTTGTTAAATTATAGTCAGTTCTTATTACCAGTTATTCAATTGTAAGTAAAATATTTAGATAGGATTTGGTATTAAACTAGGACACAGTTGAAATTCAGTAACACAATATTTTTTTTTAACAGAAAAACACTAACTGAAATTGAAAGGATTATTCAGGGTTTTCCATAGAAATTTACAATCTTGTAGATTGAATAGCATTATTTCTATGGTTGACAAGACTTTTGATATCTCATGCTTATATACAACCACATAATACTGCTGAATATTATGCTTGAATATTTATTAAACACGAGGAATCATAGCTGATTTCCTGTGTTAATTATATCTGGTTTTATTTGCTTTTGTTAGTGCAAAACACTTTAACTTTACTTAGAATGTTCTTATGTATGTGCATCCAATAGTTAATGGTATTAGTTTATTTTTATAAAGTTGTCATTTGATTTTGTATTTCAGTTTAAAACTTATGTGTTTAGTGATTTATGAGACTATACTTACATGGCATCCATGTAACTTTCTCAGAGACTTTGAATAATGTTTCACAGATTTTACTGTTTGTAATATTTATTATTTGATTTTAAATTTTGTAAAATGTAGTTGAATCATTTTAGAGAATTATATATAGATTTAGTTTTTTCACTTTTTTAGTGAAATAAATTATTATTAGAACCAAATTTAGGACATACTGATGTTATTAAGAAAGCTTAACAAATGTTCAAAGTAAATTATACATATCAATCACGCACTGAAGTCCTGATTCCTAGAATTAGCTTATACACTTTGATATACTGATACGATTAAGAACATTTTCCGAAATAAGTGGTGTCTGGCTGTTTGCATTATTTGTTCACATTTTATGTACTAAATATGATTTAGGTTGTTTTATAATTGGTATTTTTATTGATTTAATTGTGTTACCAAAACCTGGTACAAAAAAAGAAATCTAATAGAAGCATAATAATATTTTTTTGCCAAAAAAGGGGGTGGTGAGCAAGAATAGGGGGGAATCTGACAGTATAGTATATTTTTTTACTTCTCTGCTGTAATTCAGTTTGGTGTTAAAAAAACATTTCTGAAATGTTCTGAGATTTTTTCTGAAATGTTTTTAAATTTTAGTAAAGAGAATTAACCGTGGAAAAAGTATTAAGCTAACAATTTTTCATCTGGGCTGTAAAAAATCTTGATTTTGTATAATGTTTATTCTGCAAAAAAAATATGGATATATACAGAGCATTGACAAAAGTGGTTACAGACTTAAATTTTGATCATAGGCATGTCTTTTCAGTTGCCTAGTTCACTTCAGCAAAAATAATTTACAAAATTTTTTGAAAACAGTTTCATTTTTTTGAATGGGAACTTTGTGTAAAATTGCAGGTATGTCGAGATGTGTCCATTTCATGACATGAGAACTACATCACTTTGTACTCATTTTTTCCTTGTAAGAATGCTGTTTGACTGTTGGTATGGAAATATAAAAATATGTGAAATAACAAGACATGAATTCATGTTATGTATCAGCAATAATTTTTACATTTGCTTATGTATTTTCTTGTTTCTAAAGGGAAGCATTTTTGGTTCTAAAAACAAATAGTCAAATTCATAAATATTAAAAACTGTTTTTAGCACCAAACCAGATATTATGAAATAAGTATATTAAGAACTAGGGAGAAAAAGTAAGCTTTTATTACTCATTTTTTATATTTTTATGACTATTTCTTAAATATTAAATTATTTATAAAGCTGGAAACCTAAATTAGTAAAAACTAATAAAAGCATATTAATTCTTTTATTATATTTTCCAAGTATGCATCATGTATTTTTACTGTGTATCAAATACTTGAAATAGTAAAGTTCTGCAGACAGATTGGGGTATTATATTAATAATATATACAGGGTTGCGACCCTCCCTGGAAAACCTGAAAAACCAGGGTCAGGGAGTTCGAAAATTGTCTAAAAAAGTAAGGGAATTTAAATAATTTAGTCAAAATCTGGAAAACTCAGAAAATTTCATACGGTGATCCCCCCCAAAAAGTGATTTTTATGTCAACGTTAGAAGCGATCACTTTGTTAGTGAATTATGTATCGCATGAGTATCATTTGGGCAGCTGGCATAGAGCTAAATTTTGCATCTCCAATCAGATTGCCTTTTAGCAACTTTGGTATCCAGCAACCTCAAGAATCCACAGATTCACATGCACATGTGCAGTGCATGTTGAACTAAAGAAAATACCTTCCCATTTTCATATAAAACAAAATTGGTTTAATCCTGGTATACAGTACACACGGGATTTGGCAACATTATGATAAGCAGTAAAACAGACATTTATGATGAGCTGTAAACGGCTCATTTTCGTGTTGGTGACAGTTTTCAAAATCGTACCATATATTATGATTTTACAACAAAATCTTTTAAACCTTTTTTTTTCTTTTTAATAAATGCCTTATTTGCCATTTTGTAATAAAATAAAAAAAAATAATGATCCGTCATCTAGACTAACCATTTAATATAATTATATTCACCAAAATATCATTGATTACTGTAATTCAGTTTTTAATCTTTAAATAATTAACTTTATTTTAATGTTATTCATATAATTTAATGTGGCTTCCTTTTAAATTTATTCATTTTCAAATTTCAGTCAATTTTCTCTGGCATACTCCTGAAACTAATTCTAGCAGTATGATGACATACCATCACAAAATTTAATGCACATATTTTTTGTTTATGGATGCTGCTAAATGAATATAAAATACCTGAATTTATTTTAAAATATCATTAAATAGATTTCTTTCTTCCATTTAGCTGCAAGATGTCTGACAAAAAAATAATAATTACCGTAATTTCCGGAAGAAACGCCGCGGCGTTTACGTGTTTAAAACATAAATTTTCAGCGGGTGCGGCGTTTCTACCCATGCGACGTTTAGGTGCACTAAAAATAAAATATTTCCTATGATGGTCATTGTACATAGTTTGGATGGCCTTGTCATTGTGCATAGATTGGTGCTGTTCCCACACAAAAGACCACTCAGTTGCTTTTTACGAACATTATTTTGTTTACGTTCTTTCCCTTGAACGGACCTACATGCCTTATTCACCCTAAACGAGATTTCAGAATAATAACATTCTTCCCCCTTTCAATTCAACATTCTCATCAGTTTGAATAGTCTCTCTCCTCTGCCATTCGATGAATCTTCCAGGACCCATCCTCTTTCCACCCCTGCCTTTTCTGCAATTTTTTTCAAAGGCGGACACGAGTCCACCTGCCTCGCAATAACGAACTCTGACGTATTTCCCCTTCAGCATGAATGGATTTTTCTTGGCATTCTGCCAAATACAGATCCCATCAGTTAGGGTACAAGTACTTGTTGGATAGTTTTTAATTAGGGAGCGGAAAATTTTTGAAAATGTCTCTAAACGGCACAGAAGCTATACATTTCTTACCTTTAATTTATTTTTGAGTTATGGTTTCATTTCATGCATTTTTCTTAGCTGGTATGTCATATATCAGGACTTAGGTTGAGTTTTTGCATCTATACAGCCCACGACGATGTCACACGCAATTTAATCTATTGCGGCGTTTATGCTCATGCGGCGTTTCTGTGTAATTTAAATTTTTTTCCCGCCATTTTTCTCGAGTGCGGCATTTACGCTGATGCGGCCTTTCTTCTGGAAATTACGGTAATCTAGATTGGGCAGATTCTAATCTCAATCTTCAGTGTAGAAAAGAACTATTATATTTATAGTAGTAAAGCTTTGGGAATAAGCTACATGTAATTGGCAAATTTTTGTGTTTTTAAGTGGTACCTCTCAGCACAGCCAATATGCATTACGTGCATGCGTGGAAAAGTCAGGGAATTTTATTCTCCTGTTTGAGTGGGTAACCCTGCATACATATAAATGTATATATATATAAAGACATAAAGTAAGAAATTTAGAACTAATATTTCACAAAGACCAGAAATTTCAAGTCGCTTATACAAGATCATTACAGTACAAAATGCCAAATAAGAAGGCATTTTTTAATGCTAAAAAACACTATTGCGGAAAAATAAAACAGAAACAGTAGAATAAAATGTATGTGAAAGCTAATGTGCACTACTGTGGAAAAATAAAAGCAAAATAGTAGACTAAAACAGAAGAATCATTGTTGGTTCCATAGAAAGATCCCAACTTTTCAAGGGGACTTGGAATCTCTCCATACATATGCTCATACATAAATTAACATTTCTCTTCTTGTATTTTAGGTAACGTATCAGTTAAAAATTCTTACTACTGCCATGTTTTCCGTGATGATTCTTCATAAAAGATTAGCTATCACTCAGTGGCTAGCTCTAGTCCTACTAATGATTGGAGTAGCTCTTGTACAGGTATATTAATAATACTGTTTGTTCTGCAATATATGTTCATCTACTTTAATTGCTTTTGAATTATTTTTATTGTAATTCTCTTAGGAATGTTGCAATGAGGAAAGGAGCTGAGGAAATAGGAATCTCGCGTTTTTGTGTTTTATGTTTATAATTAATCATTGATAATAAATTTAGATAAACTTTATATAAATTGTTTAATTAAAAATAATTAAATGTTTAAAATAAAAAAAAAATAATCTTTTAATCATGTTAACATGTAGAGATGGTTCAGTTATCACAATGAGTATCAGTCATTTCATGAGAATTATTAAAATCAGTACATCATTATTAAAAAAAAACATTCATTGTATAAGAATGAGAATTTGAGTATTTTAAGTTATGTAAAAATCTTCTTATTTTGCAACAATTAAAACAAATGAGTTATGCCAGTTTGATTCACATAAGTAAATCTTTGCTTCATATGAATAAATGATTAATAGCTTGAAAATAAATGTTATTATATCAACGAGATCGTTAATTGATTTAGTTGATGAGATGGCATTCATTGTTATTTATTATATGAAGACGAGAAGCATATTAAGAGAAAGGTTAATAAATATTAACATGAACATTACTTTTATTTATATAAGAGTAATCATTCCATTATTTGGTTTTAGCACAAAGTAAAAATTTTATTATATATCTGAAAAATTGTGTTAACAGCTGTATAACATATTCCATGAACTATGTTTTAGTAAATGTTTGTCATTCAAGAAAAATACTTCATAAAAATAAAATTTTATTCATCATGTTTTTTTGTTTAAGTGGCCAGCCTGCCCTATTTTTGTTAGTTTTAAAGCTTGATATGAAAGGTTCTGAGCTTTAAGTAAATAAACACTGAACTATCTCTAAATTAAAAAAAAATAGAAGGAATAATCTGATGAACATCAAAATCACATGAAAGGAAGAAAAAGTTGGGATATGCAAATGATTAGTATTTCAGCCCATTTAAACAATGCAGGAGGGAGAAACGACATCTGAAGCACTGCATAAAAAAGAAAGTTGTGTAGTAGATTTCTCATTTGGAAAGTGCCTTGTAAGGTCAGGGTTTACTCAGAATATTGTATGATGCTTCGACTAAGAAGAAGAAATGCTTACCAACAAGTGTCGGAATTTGATAGAGGCAGGATCGTTTCATATAGAGAATGTGGATTATCATTCCTTGATATGGCTGGTCGCATTGGTTGACATTCAACCACTATCATACGAATATAGAATCAATGGAATGCTGAGGATCGTACTGAATGCCATGCAGAATCTCAATGGCCTCCCATGACTATAGCCCGAGAGGACAGACATATTGTGAGGTCATCCCTGCAAAACAGTACAACCACATCACAGACCATTAGTCAGAAAATGTTATTTTATCATGTTTTCAGCAAGCCCAGTATCCACTCATACGGTGCTTTGATGTTTGCAACAGCATAGCATAGAGAGAGACAGCGGCTCTGGTGTGCCAAACGACAAAGCTGGATACAGGAGTGGCACAATATCATGTTTTCAGAAGAGTCTCGGTTCTACATGCAGTATTTTGATAGTCGTACATGAATGTGGAGGCTCCGAGGAGACCACACGTTGCCTGTTTGCATTCGGTATCAACATAGGGGCCCTGCACCTGGTGTGATGGTTTGGGGGCAGCCATTCGGTACATGCCACGCACATCTCTGGTTCGGATTTATGGTAATATGAGTGCAGATTGGTACACTTCTGACATCTTATGTCCAGTGGTTGTGTCCTATCTTCGAAGCCTGCCAAATGCCATCTTCCAACAAGATAATGCAAGACTACATGTTGCAAGTTGTGTTGTGACCTTCCTCGATACACAGGGTGTAGTTTGTACCATCATTAAATTCACGAAACAGGAGTTTCTGTAGTAGCTCTTGATACACAGGGTATTCAATTGCTGCCCTGGCCTGCACGGTCTCCTGATCTGTCACCCATTGAAAACATCTGGCCATGGGTTGCTGAGAGATTGTTCCACCACCCGTCTCCAGCTAATATGGTCCGTTACACATAAACAAAAAACAAACAATAAAGTGTGGCATAGACTTGAAGCAGCATGGAATATGTTTCCCGTTTTGTTATCCAAGCCCAGTTTGACTCCAGACCTAACTGGGTATCAAAATTTACAAAAAAAAAAAAAAAAAAAAAAAAAGCTTAATATTTTTTTGTTTACTTTATTAAACATTTCTTTCAATGTAAGTTGTTTAAATCGCTTTGTTTTTTGCGCTAATACGTTCTCTTTAATTCTCTCTTCTCTTTATGTGCATGCGTAGCAGACACGTGCATTAAACGTGCGTGCATAAACATATTATGCACATGCGTATGCGTTTACACATGTGCATAAAGTTTGTAGCTTTGAGGTCCGGATTATAAATCATTTCGGATTATGGATGTCCGGATTAAAGACTTTGTACTGTATATAACAATATTAGGTTAATCATATGTTTTTCAAAATTTTAAGCATTCATGTTGATTAGGATTCCCCCCACTCCGTCCTGTAAAATTTACATTTAAGTACATAGTACTTTTAGCAAAGGCTAATTCAGGAATAAATTTAATGATAAGTACAGTTACAATATACATTTCAGTAATATTAAAAATATAATTTTATATAAAATAAGCATAAAAAATTAAAATATAAAAGTTAAACAATTGCAAGATGCGTGTTTACTGAAATAATTACCTGGAAAATTGCAGTTAACATTTTTGAATTAGGAAATTCTAATATCTTTTTTGTAGTAGAACTTAGAAGAGTTCATTAAATTCAAATATTTTTATTAAAGTGTATGCCTTAAGATAGTGTAATCTTTGCAAATAAGTGCCCAATTTATATTAAAATATAATATTGTTCATTGACTCTTATAAAAAACTGTGTTGTGATTTTACAGCTGCTGTGTGATAATGGTAAATATCAACTTTGTTGATCTGTTTATAATATCTTTTAACAGTGACTATGTTTAAACTGTAGCAGATTTGACTCTTTTGTAACTCATTTTATGGAAATTTATCCATATATTTTTATCTATCATTTTTAAAAATTGATTTGAGAAGAAAGTATGTAACTTCTTCCTTGAATAAATATATATTATGATATATAAATTCATTTATGTAATAACATTAAGCTTAAAGAAGAAAGTATATTCTGTGCATATACAGTCAAAAGTCGTTAATTCAGACACCCATAATCCGGACCTCAAAGCTACAAACTTTCTGCGCATGCGTCAAAGTGACGCACACCTTTACGGCTGCTTATGTGAGTGCGCAAGCACATAATACACTTATGCATGCACGTTTAATGTGTAACGGACGGTATAAGCTAAAATTATCTAATTATCTATTTCAGTTAATGTTGCAGATTGGGTTGTTCCTTAATCTTCGAATTGAATCCGGCTTATTATTTTTTGGAGACAGTTAGAGCAATTTTATAAAAGTGAGCTTGAACTTTCGATTATGTCAAATAGAATTTCTGATGCTGGAGCTCCCAAAGGATCCACAAAACGAAAGTATGTTTCGATGTCCATCAAAGAAAAAGTGGAATTGCTGCAAAAAATGGATAAAGGCATGAATAAAGTGACAGAGAGGTTAGTGAAAACAAAAAAATTTCGATTGACGAGTTAGTCGGTATTCTCGGCACAGCAATTACAGGACTTGAACAGTGGAACTTGTAACTGAACAAGAATTTATGTCTGTTTATATAGAATTAAAGAGAAAGTATTAGCACATAAAACAAAGCAACTTAAACAACTTACATTGAAAGAAATGTATAATAAAGTAAACAAATAAATATTAAGCTTTTTTTTTTTTTTTTTGTAAATGATCCCTTTAGATCATAATTGTTCTTTATTTCATAAATTACAGTTTCATATTTTTAATTTTATAATTTCTGCATGCCATCTTACCAGATTAAACTGATGATCTATAATCCAGAAAAATCGATAATCCGGAATCGCTGAAGTCCAGACGAATCCGGATTAACGACTTTTGACTGTAGTATTAATATAATTATATAGTATAATGTATTATAATAAAAATTGTTTCTATTATTCTTATGCCAACAGTAGAAATGTTATCATCTTTTATGATCATTATCTCAAGTACCCCAAGCTGCATTAGCTAAGACTTTTCAGTTAAATAAGCATTAATTACTACTAAATATATAGTGAGAATGTTATAAAAATCCATTTTCAGATGCCAGCCTCTGTATCTGCTGTAGAAGAGAATGTTGATCATAGTTTCTCCTCAAAATTCTTGGGACTTTTTGTTGTATTGATTGCATGCTTTTCTAGTGGATTTAGTGGTGTATACTTTGAAAAACTTGTCAAAAGTTCTGCGCAGCAGTCATTATGGATCAGAAACATACAATTAGGTTAGTTTTGGTTCTGAATTTACATTTGAGTTTCTTATTATATTTTAATATGAAATGTTAATTAGAAATTAAATTTTCACTAAGATCAGGAAAGTTTCACATTTGATTTTTCTTTTTTTTTCTAGAGTAGTTTTAAAATCGTCACGGACACTTAACTGACAGCAATTAGCTGAAAGACACTTAGTTGACAAGGACATTTATCCAATAAAACTTTACCCAAATTGAACAGTTAGCCAACAAGACATTCAGCCAACAGAACATTTAACCAACAGAACATTTAACCAATAGAACATTTAACCAACATTGACATTTAGCCAACAAGACATTTAGCTGATAATACATATATGTAAACAAAACAATATGCAATAATTTTTTAGTAAACAGAGTGGTAGTTTTTGTCCATACAGATGGAATTTACAAATTTTTAGAATGATTTTGGAGCTATTGAATTAATGTTTAAAAGAAAAACAATTTTTTTTAATGCTTGGTCTGATAACCTTTCTTTTGGATTGTAAGTCTGTATCATGATTTCCACAATAGAGAGGCTTTTCATAAAATTTGCAAAGAATTTCCATTCCTGTTCCACTACTTTCCAGAGCCCATCAGTCGTGATGGGTTTGTGCTTAGAAAGATGTCTTTTCAAGAGACCTAAGGCACATTAGTCCATAGGTGAAACCTTAGGGAACTTCACAGGAATATATTAAAAAGATATGTATGCAATATGTGCATCAGTCTTCAATTTTTCAAAGAATGCAGTGGTACTTTCTGAAGTAGGACTATTTGTTTTGTCTTGAAGTTCCACTGTTTGAATGTCATTGGGATTTAAAAATGGAATCTCTTCTGTAAATATTGTATGTAAGACTTTCTTTTGATTATAAGTTTTTATTTTAACATTTGAACAAATTATTTTAACACTTTTTCCCCCACTCTCCTTATTTTCGATATCTTATTGCAAGAGAATCCTGTGACAATCATACATCCCTTACTGAAACATTTTTTACACCGATAGAATCAAGTTTTGCTTTTGTTTCTCTTCATTTTCAGTAATAAGTAAACCTTTTTTTTTTTTTTTTTTTTTTGTTGCAGTCATCTAGGTAAACCCGTGCTTCATCAGGGGTCACAATGTTATACCATTTACCTCCTGCTAAAGAGTTTTCATACAGAATTCTACAAATTTTTCCTCATTGAGCCATATGTTTCAGCAAAAACTGATGCACATTCTAATTTTTAGCTTTTTTAAGTGTCAAAACTTGGTTTATTATTTTATTTATTGTGCTACAGATGTATTTAAAGGCTTTGAAATTGATTTCTGTGTTGGTGGATTTTCTGTTGTTACCAACGATTTAACTTTAGAAGCTTTAGAAACAGCACATACCTTTTTCAAGTACGCATGTGGAATCTTCTTTCCATGTGGAAGTAATGATTGATAGTTTTTTTTCCTTTCCTATTAAAAAGTATTGCTTATTTTGTACTTTTAAAATTTTAATACCACACATTTTGCAATGTTTCTGGATTATGGAATAGGAATATTTCTCTTCAGAAAGTGTAAAAACATATCATTCAATCTTCAGCTTGTCTATATATGCAACGTGTTGAAAGAGGAATAAATTAAAAAATAACAGATGGTATTTCTCATTTAAAAAAATAAGCTGTTTCTAGAAATTTTTATTCCAAAGCATTTGCCTTTACCCCCTTAATTTTTTTAGTGAAATGTTCAAAAATTGTGTAAACACTCTGTGTATTTATCTGGCAAAAAGCTGTTTCCAGAATATACAACAAGGTGGAATGAACTATACAGGAATTCTACTACTGCCTCTTTGACTAAACTATATTTTCCTTCCATTCCTCACAGACTCAATAATAAACACTTTTTCTGCAATTTTGAAGTTACTCAATTTCTAACTGGACATGGTAAATTCAATTCATATCTGTAGAGATTTAGATTATCTAGTACAGACTTGTGTTCATGCAGTTTTGTGGGAGGGCAAAATGTCGAACATTTGTTGTTCTATAGTTCAAAGCTCAAGGAAGAACAAAAGGAAGTCATTTCTAGGTTAAACTCTGTGAATATTACATTTCCTCCCCTTCTTCACGTATTTGTCCAACATAAAATGGCTTTCCCTTTCTTCTGTAAATTTATCTCTTATGTGTCATCTGTGAATTTGTAAGTTTATTTTATTGTGTGTTGTGTCATTGTATTTTTTTTTTTTCACTTACCTCTGTAAGACTTGTGTAATAATACTATGTGAACATGGTAAATTCAATTCATATCTGAAGAGATTTAGATTATCTAGTACAGACTTGTGTTCATGCAGTTTCGGGGGAGTGCAAAATGTCGAACATTTGTTGTTCTAAAAATTGTTCAAAGCTCAAGGAAGAACGAAAGGACCTCATTTCTAAGTTAAACTCTGTGAATATTAACATTTCCTCCCCTTCTTCACGTATTGTCCAACATAAAATGGCTTTCCCTTTCTTCTGTAAATTTGTAAATTTATCTTTTACGTGTCATCTGTGAATTTATAAGTTTATTTTATTGTGTGTTGTGTCATTGTATTTTTTTTTTTTTTTTACTTACCTCTGTAAGACTTGTGTAATACTATGTGGTACACAAGGATTTAAAATTTTCAATTAGAAAAAAGTTTTATGGATAAGTAGCATATTTTTTCTTTAATTAAAGCTTAAGAAACAATAGACTTTAAAATTAGGCAGACAAGCAATCTTGTTTTGGTGTAGATTTTGAAATCAATTTCGACAGGTGCAAAACGATTTTATATGGAAAGAAATGAGTGAAAACAAATGTAATTTAATCTGTCGAGAAAAATAACATTGAAACAAGAAAAAACTAAGATACTAGAAATTTGAAAGAGCTGAAAATTTAATCTCATTAACTGGCTAAGAAAATTTTTGTTAATGTGGATCGGTTCAAAGAAGTCTAATTTTTCTAGCTGGAGAAGGTGTATGGATAATTTTTGAAGATCTGAAGTCAGAATTATGATTAAATGTCCATTTGTGATTAGCTATCAAAATTTTGCTTTTCGAACACATGATTCATGTTCCCTGATGAGAAATTTCAACACTTTTTCAGGTGGGCCAATATATATGAAACCATACTGACATGATAAGCTTTCATAAGAATTAAAATTATCTTATCTTTAAGAACTGGACAACAAATTTTTTTGATACTTGCAAAAACAGCCTCAATTGAATTTGTTAAGAATCCAAGCAACTTTGTAACTCTTAGAGAGATGAAATATTATGAAAATGTGTTGGGGAATTATTTTTAATATCTGAGAGTCATTCATAATGGGAGAAGGAACATTTTTGAAATCTGAGAGTCATTCATAATGGGAGAAGGAACATTTTTGAAAGACTTCCTCACTGTCAATGGCAGAAAATACTCTCTCAATGGAAACTAATTTCAAACAATTAGTTTCTCAGAAAGCAAGTATTCTGAGAAGCAAATTTTGGGAGTACAATATATGAAATAGTAAAAAGAGGATACTTTTTAGTTAGCAGAAGGACATGATTTTACAAGGAGAGGCAAACGAGCAGGAAGAGATTTAAGGTAAACTATTTCAGCTCTAGACCAAGAATTATGATCAATATATGAAAAATTATAATTCAGATTGGCAATTTCTACTACCCAAAAATGAAACCAGTCTTAACAAATGCTGACCATATTTGTGAGATAGAACCATGCTTATAATCTGATGAAATGTAATGTTCCTATGGCATTACATTTCATCAGATTATAAGTATATATTTATTAAGTTATAAAAAATTTTATTGTATAAATTTAAGTTATAAAAATTTTAATGAAATATGAGGTCAGCCCTCCCTATGATGAATTCAGTTAAATACAAAACATGTGAAAATATGAAACACAGTATGTAGGAAATATTGTGAAGTAAGGTGTTTAACATTGAAGAATTTCAAGTGATATTTATGAGTGTTTTTAGAAAAGGTGTTTTCCTTTTACTTTGCTGTTATTCATTATGTTTTGCTGCTAAGGCAGAGTAAATTAAAAAAAAAGTCAATAACTTCATTGTGTAGCTACCAGCCTTCTAACAAACTGAAAATGTGTTAACTGTAAAATTACAGGTTGTATAAATTTAATAATTTTATTTTATTCTTATTGTTATAAATGTAAAAAATTTGATTAAAATATTTATCTTAAAATCAAGTTTGATTATGCATTTATGTAGTTTGGGATATAGCTGTTCCAAATGCCAAATTTTGATAAATATTATTTTAATTTTTAATTTGTTTATATAGTTTTGAATCTTTAGCATACAATAAGAAGTAAATTTCTTAAAACATGTTTAAAAATGCATTGCAAATAACAAAAGAAAGTGTAGCACATAACAATACTTAATAGGCAACTAAAAATTCCTTTTTGTCATTATAAAACACATTCACAATTAAAAATAATTGTAATAGCACTGCCGTAATACTGTTTAGTCTTTCTATCAATTGTGGAATTGCTTGAATTTTCTGTAAGTTTCCAACCAGTTCTTCATTCAAGAAATGAACCAACCATTCAAGTCATATTTTGTCACTAATCGGCAAAACTGTTGTTCATATCATGGCTGTGTGATTTGACATCTATTGGCAGAACTGAAAGAATGTTGAAATTTTTCATCAGGAAAGGTAGAACTGCATGTCTGAAAGAAGAAATAAACTAATTTTTCATAACTAATCACAATTGGACACTAATTATAATTTTGACTTCCAGTGTACAAAAATTGTATATAAAGATTCTTCAGTTAATAAACTGGATTTCTTTAAGCCCTTTTACATTAACAAAAATTTTTCTTCTTTCGTTAATGACATAAATTCTAATATCTGAGCTTTTCCACTATTCATTATTGTTTTTCATGCTGCATAAGTAGAAGAAATATTCCGAATAATCCACAAACACTTTCCAGTCCTTTAAAAAAAATTAGAAATCACTTTGTGCGAGTGCACACACACCATAAATTATACATTAACTGAACATGAAAAAGTAGAAATAATTATGCCTAACATTTTCAGAAAGGGCTAATTCTAAATCTAATAAAAAAGAATTAGTGCTTTCATAAAATAAGCTTTTTTTAAAACTCATAAAATAAAAGGATAAAATAATTTATCATATAATTTACATACAAAAAACAAGAGATGAAATAATTCAGCACTTTCTGATTTTACATTTATATCTGATCCAGTGTATTTGTATCAGATGCATAAAATTTTACCAGAACAAAAACCTAAATGCATGTAATATTAAACTTCATAACTTCAAAGCACATAAAAAGGAATGCACACAGTACAAATAAGTATTTCTTCCTTTAGATCAGCAAATGTTACACTATTATTCAAAACACAATTAATACATCTACTTACGATTGCTGACAAAAATTCATATTCCAGTTCATTTAAGTCTTTAATATCAAAATTAAGAGCTTCAGCCCACATTTGATTTGTCACAATATCCTCATCATTTTCAAAAAGAAATTTGGAAGCAACCAGCTATGAAAAAAATTCCAATGTTATTTTTCTCAAGTAAAAAATATACAGATATATCAAACAAAAAAATTTTTTAGGTCAGATAATCCTTACCATTGTAACGACAAAAAGACCTGAAGGTGATACTGTTTCTAAATATTCACTATTATTTCTCTGCAGTCTATCTAAGTATATCAATGCTAAAATCATGGCACAGGGAGAAATATGGGCAGCCCTATAAAAACAATTCAAAATTTCATGAGACAGAAATATTATACGGAAGCATAAGATATTGCAGTACTTGTTTACTATGCCATCGACCATGAAAAATGGCTACAATCAAACCATGAAAGTTGGCTGAGATCCCATCAAAGTTGCACTAATTGATTCGAAAGGAAGTGATGCCTCTTTAATTAACAATCAGTATTCGAACCACTTTATTGTTGTAATTCATAAAAAGGCTTTCATTGATTTCTAATATTATGTTAGGCACTGAGATTTTACAAAATCTCTGTTTAGAACGGTATAAGTGCATACTTCTTATAGATAATTGTTACAATCCTTTATTGCTTTGTCGGCCACATTAATTTCACCATATTGTATCCATTAATACACATATTTTTTATGGTAGAATCCACACTTTTAAAAATAATGCACTGCTTAATGTTCTATAGAAAGCAGATTCCAAGTTTTAATAATATTTTTAATGCAAGGAAAAGAACAGCAGTAATAACAAATTTATGTCTTTGTTCATAAAAACAAAATACAGCTTATCAAAATTCAATCAGTTTCACCAAACAAAAGTGCAGACATTACAAGTGTGTTGTTACATGATGCATATCCATAACTGGTGCTAAATCACACGGCTTGACAACAGTTCGACAGCTGACAGGATAATATATACATAAGTACTGATATTGCATTTAACCGAACTATAAATTTAAAATCTGGCAATTTAGATTTTCAAAGGACGTACTTATTTAGCTAGTCAAACAAATGTTTATTGCATTTCCCACCAGAGTATAAGACACTTTTTCTTTAAAAATATCATGTCTAAAATCTGGGTGTGTCTTATACAATGGTAAAGCCATTGTATAAGACATATCCAGTGGCAATGGAAATGTTATTAGTGACATTTCAGTGAATAACAAGGGTGAAAGACTGTTGACAATGCATACATTGCATGCACATTAACCCTCAGAATGCTGAGGCCTTTACTCCCGATTCTTTAAAAAACTGAAACACGAAATTCCATTTGAGATTCATATAAATTCCCCCCCCCATTCATTAACACATTAAGGAGGTGAAGATTTCAATATTGTTTCCAAGTCATAATAAAGGAGCTTCCCCCCCCCCTCAATGCATACTAAGTCAACTTTAACGTAAAGCTAAGGAACCACAAAAAGAATCCTTTTAGGACAAGACTGTCCACAATAAAGATGAGCTGATAGACTGCATTTGAGAAAACTTCACTTTAGGCTATTGCATACTCTTCAGCTAAGATGAACATGTCTTAGGTCTTTAAAGTTTTTCTCTATAATCTTTGCATTTATGTCTACAGTTTTGTTTTTCCAATGAATTAACATTAGAATAAGATTCACCTTGATAATTATTTTGGAAGCATACTTTCAAATTCTAAATATGGTCATTCTGTTGCACTTACATTGGATACTTAAGTATAAATCCAACCACCTTACTAGAAGTCGCCAAATTTTCAGAATGCGCCGAACTCTGGCAACCATGCTCATAATAATTCTTCAGTTCTTCAGTCATGCAATGTACACATTTTTTAATTTTTCTTTTAAATTCCAAAGATTTTTATAAAAAATTTTGATATTTTTCTCCCAAGTTTTAAAATACGAGCTTGTGGAATTTACCATTAATGGTACAAACTAAAGTAAAATTTCTGCAAAATTACAGAAGCTTTCTGAAAATTTTCTAAATGAAACAAAAAAAAAAATTTATTTTCTTGATAGCCGATGCTACCGAGGCTTGCACAAAGCTGAGTCTCTGCAATTCAATGTTTTTTTAAACAAAAGCAGATCAATGTGTACTTTGGGAGGAAAAACAGTACAAAAGAATTTCAGAATGATTTGAAAAAGAATGCAACTGTTTTATTTTTTTTAATGTATCATATAATCCTTATTCAATAAATCAAATTTATATTTGAAAATTTTAAAGTATGTTTTCTTTTCATATGCTGGCAATGTTAAATGACTTGCCATAAACATCGGCAGTTTGGGAATCTTTCTAAGACTCAAAAACCACCAACTTACATCCAATAAGTAACTTTTACTTTTCATCTGTAAAAAATCACCAAATTGCACCAAGGTGGTTGTATTAAGTACTTTAGATTGTTTTGCAGCTAAAATAATTGCATCTTTCTGCAACTTTTCATTTTTCTTTTGATGCATCAAGTACAAGACGACAATCACAACTTGATCTTTCTTTTAATCTTAATTTTACAATGGGTTGGTTTTCAACTGAAATAAAACAACTGATGTCAATAAGCAGATGAACTTGGAATTAAAGTTATAATTCGTAATAATTAGGTTAACCTAAAAATTGAAAGATGTGCCAAAACAAATGCCAGATGTCATGAAACACTGATTCTGATTGAAGGCTTCATAATTTTATGCTACAACACAACTTAGTTGCATTCGCCAATAATTCCCGCTTAAAATTCACTTGCTACTATTATTAAGGGACAGAGGTAAGTAATATATATCAAATGAAAGAAAAATTTCATGACCAGATAAAAGCAGTCACGCCACTCAGAAGGTTAAGCACTGCTATACAATGCAGAAGGCAGAGATCAATTAAACACTGGACTTCACAACTTGAAATCAACTGGCTACCAATACACAAAGCAAAATGGCCGGTACTTCTTTGTTATAGTGGCCCTCAACCGTATTTGGTGATTTTAGATTTGCCCAAGATCTCGGTTATAATTCTGTCAAAATTGTGAAGCTCAAATGTAAAAATAAACAACACAATATAAAATAACAACAATAATACTCATAAGTGATTTCCTAAAAAAATTTTTGAGAAACCTTATCCTTAGTATTATTACTTTATCACATGCAATTGTTCCAGTCAACTGCAGCACTTTCACACATATTTTGGAAGTGTTGAACCAATATCCAACCTGGAGAGCATTCTTCTTTTCTGCAATTTTTAACACCACACCTCCAAATGGTTTTGTTGTCAAAGTAAACTTTCAGGTTGTGGCCATTTTTGCATACTTGTTTCTCGGATAAAAGACCTCTTTCTTGAAAAAATATACGACATCCACCTTATTACTTGGTAAATTAAATATTGTTAGCGCTATATTCACAAAAAAAGAGCAATAAATATATTTTTAAATAAACAAACGTAAATCCAAATACCAATACTATAAGAAAATGCAGCACAGTGCTAATATACGATTATGTGGCAAGGTATAAGAACAAGCAGCAGGTGCTAATATACGATCACATGGGTAAGGTATAAGAACACGCAGCCAGATTTTGGCACAATATCTCAATTGATTGGCGATTAAATCTAGGAGGCTGTTATAACAAAGATGTACCGAAGAGCCTTACAAAGCATAATTATCCACATCTGTCTTTATTTAATGTTTCAATAAAAAATTCATTTATTGGAAATGAGATGGAAGTTGACATCCTATTTTAATAACGTGATTATAGACAAGTAAAGATAATCAACATAGTCTAGCAGCTATATCAAATAACTATAAGATTCTCTGCACAATTCTTCCAGCCAGTTCTTAAAATAGAAGAAGACTTGATATTACTGCTAAATTCTCTTACCTTAAAGTAAAATAAAACTATCCATAACTCCTTTTACAGGCTAATGTAATTTCAGAATTCTAAACGATTTTTTTTCACATTCTCTGATATTCTGATAAGAAATCTGACTATTTTGATTAATAAAAAATTTTAACTCTTGAAAAAATTTTTCAACTTTTAAAAGAATACAAATTTGTTTACATACTTAGTTGCAGTTGAAACATAGTCCATATCCAAAATATCCAGTCCATAATTTGGTACAGCTTTCGAAAATAGTTCCAGTGCTAAACCTGAAAGAAAACTTTTGATGCTATCAAAATTAATTTATACAGAAAAGTGCTATCAAAAAACAAGGGATAAAATTATCTCCTAAGATTATCAGCCATAACTGACCTGTTAAGGCAATTGGAGGGTGATCAGGAAGATCAGTAAAGCCATTGAAATCACCGGCATACAAAGTCTTTCT